CTACCTGAGAAAGCTCCCACGCTGAGCAGAAATAATTACTTCTACATTACTTCTTGTATTACATCAATGCATGAGGAGCTAAATCACAACAATGAACAGGATAAAATCATGGTTCAAGGGGTTTGTCAATTCGTGAAGAAATAAAAAGAGAAACCAGGCAATTATAATTCAATTACGGGAAATAGTGTTAACTTCACTGAAAACTTGTGTTTTGAGCGGAGGCCCAAAGGACAGCCAGGTGAAGTGTAAGGGACCCACCGTCTCCCACAGCAGCATCAGCACCCCCGCCACTCAGAGGCTGTGTTCTGCCTTGTGCCCAGCACAGGGGATGCCCACCAGTGTCCAGGCAGTGATCAGCGGGTGTTTTCTCTCTCCAACCTCAAAGCAAAATAAGCTAGCCTCCGGCCCTTCCTTAATAGTATTGCCTGTTAAGAGGGTATGTAGCTCTTGAGACAGCGTTCTAGGTGATGCAAATGGGAGGCACCCTCTTAAATCCTTACATGTGTCTGTTTAGAAGGGTGTCAACTCAGTACATAGCTCAGAACAATAGCCCCCATCTCTGAGAATCCAGAAAGTGATGACAACTGAGACGTGTTTCAGAAGACAGCAAGCTAGCCTTCTTAAGCATGTTTAGTGACAAGTGTTAACAGTTAACAAAACCTTGAAGCTAGAGCTTGGAAGCTATTGATGAGGTCAGAAAATTTACTAGACATTTATTCATGTGTCTTGGTAGACACTTATGGAGATACCACTGTGGGTTAAGAAATGTGTTAAAAGATGGGGAGACAATCATTAATAAGACAAAATTCTTACCTTCAAAGGGCTTACTATTTGGAAATTCAAGTAACCTTTAATGATAATAGAGTGTTCTCTGGGCACAGGATACCATGGAAACCAGGAGATGCAGGTAACCCAGGCCTGAGGGATCACGGAAAACTTCTCAGCCACAGCAGTCTCTACACTCAATCAAATTGTAAACAAATTACAACAGGATTTAGAGACCTTAGCTTGCATTTGACCCTGATTAACTCAGACTTTCATCACATACCTCTGTGCTTTCACTTTGTGCTGTAGGGGTGCTGCTGACCCTCCCCTGAGATAAATGGAGGTGTTTTGCTAAGGCACAGAGCAGGGCTATATGTCATTAAATCACTGTGGCTCAATCTTGCCAAGTGAATGCCAGTCCCAGTTGAAACATTTACAAAGTAGATAAAAATATGCAGATGATTAATTCACACAAGCTTATTAGTGAAGACATTCTTCACAAAGACCAGAAAACTATTCTCTAAATTTCTAAGGCACAAGTCTTTGTTTCAGCCCCCGAAAACTCCGTCTACTTGTGCCTGATGGAGTGAACATGGAAAAAGGAAGAATAAAATTCCTTTTCAATGACTTTACTGATTGGTTCTGGAATGGAGAGTCATTGGAATGGAGAGTCTTCATGTTTTACTCTTGGAGGGTTTTCACATTATTTTCATTTGATATATTGGTTTTTAATCAGAGCTTAAACATCAAACATGCACCCATAAAAATACTTCACTAACCAGCTATCATTGTTCCAAGCACAAAATATTTTATGATATTTTATGTAATCTATTGAGTGAATATATTTATGAACATATTCTTTTTGTGATAAATCCTTAAACTGAGACAAAATATTAATCAAAAAATTTCAAGGGGATGGTATTGGGGTAAGAACTATTAATAGCTCCATATTTCACTTTGAACATTTCAGAACTTGGACTTTCATTTTTGCAATAAAAAACCATAAAGATGGAGGCAATAACTGCTAAATTTTAATTCTGTGATGAGACTCAGGAGAATATATTTCCCATGCCTGGGAAATTTTCTCTTACAAAAGACAGATAACAATAAAGAAATACTTAGTTAACTAGGAATCCAGGTGCAACACTGGATAGAAAATTAAGCTCATGTATTATTACCATAATCCTGCTTTGCATTGGATGTCAGTATTAGCATATGGAAGTTGCAACACCATCAGGTAAAGAATCTTAAAATAAGTGAGCAGATATTGTACAAATATCGGTTTATTCTTTCAAACAAATGCTGCCTGCACTGACATAATTTCACTTGTGAGTCATATGTGTGAATGAAGTGGCCGCCTTTAAACTTCCAAAGCACATCCTGTCCTCCAAACCTTGAAAAGATTTCTCTTGAAAGAGAAATCATAAAAATGCATGGAAATATTTATAGGAGTGGGCTTCCCTGATGACTCAGTGATAAAGAATCTGCCTGCAATGCGGGAGACACAAGAGCCGCAGGTTGGCTCACTGGGTCAGGGAGGTCCCCTGGAGGAGGGCATGGTAACCCACTCCAGTATTCTTGCCTGGAGAATCCCATGGACAGAGGAGCCTGACAGGCTATAGTCCATGGGGTCGCAAAGGGTTGGGCACACTAGAGTGCACACATATACACACACAAACACACACACATTTATAAGAGCAACAGAAATTGTTTGTTCGTTTGTTTCAGTTGGGCCCCATTCTATTTTTTTCTTCTCTTTCTTTACACTGATCACTGAAGAAGGCTTTCTTATCTCTCCTTGCTCTTCTTTGGAACTCTGTATTCAAAAGAGTGTATCTTTCCTTTTCTCCTTTGCCTTTCACTTCTTTTCTCAGCTATTTGTAAGGCCTCCTCAGACAGCCATTTTGCCTTTTTGTATTTCTTTTCATTGGGGATGGTCTTGATCACCGCCTCCTGTACAATGTCATGAACCTCCATCCATTGTTCTTCAGTCACTCTGTATATCAGATCTAATCCCTTGAATCTATTTGTCATTTCCACTGTATAATCATAAGGGATTTGATTTAGATCATTCCTGAATGGTCTAGTGGTCTTCCCTACTTTCTTCAATTTAGTCTGAATTTGGCAATAAGGAGTTCATGATCTGAGCCACAGTCAAAAATATACCCATTGAAAGCAGAGTTCCAAAGAATAGCAAAGAGAGATAAGAAAGCGTTCCTCAGTGATCAATGCAAACAAATAGAGGAAAACAATAGAATGTGAAAGACTAGAGAGCTCTTCAAGAAAATTAGAGATACCAAGGGAACATTTCATGCAAAGATGGGCACAATAAAGGACAGAAATGGTATGGACCTAACAGAAGCAGAAGATATTAAGAAGACGTGGCAAGAATACACAGAAGAATTATACAAAAAAGAACTTCATGACCCAGATAACCATGATGGTGTGATCACTCACCTAGAGCCAGATATCCTGCAGTGTAAAGTCAAGTGGGCCTCAGGAAGCATTACTGTGAACAAAGCTAGTGGAGGTGATGGAATTCCAGTTGAACTATTTCAGATCCTTAAAGATGATGCTGTGAAAGTGTTTCACTCAGTATGCCAGCAAATCTGGAAAACTCAGCAGCAGCCACAGTACTGGAAAGGTCAATTTTCATTCCAATCCCAAAGAAGGGCAATGCCAAAGAATGTTCAAACTACCACACGATTGAACTCATCTCACATGCTAGCAAGTTGACGCTCAAAATTCTCCAAGCCAGGCTTCAACAGTATGTGAACCATGAACTTCCAGATGTTCAAGCTGGATTTAGAAAAGGCAGAGGAACCAGGGATCAAATTGCCAACATCCATTGGATCATAGAAAAGCAAGAGAATTTCAGGAAAACATCAACTTCTGCTTTACTGATTAAGCCAAAGCCTTTGACTATGTGGATCACATCAAACTCTAGAGAATTCTTCAAGAGATGGGAATACCAGACCACCTTACCTGCCTCCTGAGAAATCTGTATGCAGGTCAAGAAGCAACAATTAGAACCAGACATGGAACAACAGACTGGTTCAATATTGGGAAAGGAGTATGTCAAGGCTGTATATTGTCACCCTGCTCATTTAACTTATATGCAGAGTACCTTATGTGAAATACCTGACTGGGTGAATCAAAAGCTGGAATCAAGATTGCTGGGAGAAATATCAATAACCTCAGATATGCAGATGACACTACCCTTATGGCAGAAAGTGAAGAACTAAAGAGTCTCTTGATGAAAGTGAAAGAGGAGAGTGAAAAAGTTGGCTTAAAATTCAACATTCAAATAACTAAGATCATGACATCCAGTCCCACCACCCCCACAGCAAAAAGATGGGGAAACAGTGAAAGCAGTGACAGATTTTCTTATCTTGGGCTCCAAAATCACTGCAGATGGTGACTACGGCCATGAAATAAAAAGACGCTTGCTCCTTGGAAGAAAAGCTATGATCAACCTAGACAACATGTTAAAAAGCAGAGACATTACTTTGCCAACAAAGGTCTGTCTAGTCAAAACTATGGTTTGTCCAGTAGTCATGTAGGGATGTGAGAGTTGGGCTGTAAAGAAAGCTGAATGCCAAAGAATTTGATGCTTTTGAACTGTGGTGTTGGAGAAGACTTTTGAGAGTCCCTTGGACTACAAGGAGATCCAACCAGTCAATTCTAAAGGAAATTAGTCCTGAATATTTATTGGAAGGACTGATGTTGAAGCTGAAACTCCAATGATTTGGCCACCTGATGCGAAGAACTAACTCCTTGGAAGAGACCCTGATGCTGGGAAAATTTGAAGGCAGGAGGAGAAGGGGACGACAGAGGATGAGATGGCTGGATGGCATCACTAACTCAACAGACATGAATTTGAGCAAGCTCCAAGAGTTGGTTATGGACAGGGAAGCCTGGCGTGCTGCAGTTCATGGGCTCGCAAAGAGTCAGACATAACTGAACTGAACTGGGTCCACCCTACCTGACTGGACCAAAGTACTTGAAAACATATATTGACACCAGGGTAACCAGCCAAGTATGAAAAATCTCATCTGTGGAAACGCACATCCCAAGCAAGAAGAATTTTAGGACATGAAACAAGATTATTGAGAATTTGATCTGAAATGGATTAAACCAGAAGGAATAGCAGAAGCAATAAGCTGAAGTCTTCATAATTGGGTTGTTTTCACAGCTTTAAGCAGTGTCTACTACTGTAAGCCCCTCTGGTCCAGGGAATCAGAGAAGAAAAATTCCAGTAACACCTGTGCTGCTGGTGTATGAAGATGATACTTGTCCTTCCTGCACTGTAAGTCACAGAACTTGAGGAATGCAAGCCCACGGGGAAAAGGCAGTGTTTTCTTGTACGGGAAAGAGTAACCTTCCCTATAAATCCACCCACTTTCGAAGCAGCTACTGAAATGGGTTGGTCCTCCAACTTGGCCAAAACATAAATAAAGCTCTTAACATTCATGACATAATGACAGTGCTGCCTCCCTCATGTCTGGTATCTAAAGCTTACAATTTTCACAAGCCAGTAGTGTAGGTCCTTGTTCAATCAGGATTTGTCTGTGAGCCAGGACCTACGCAGGGCTTCCCAGGTGATGCCGTTGTAAAGAATCCACCAGCCAAAGCAGGAGACGCAAGAGATGCGGGTTCGATCTCTGGGTCAGGAAGATCCCCTGGAGGAGGAAATGGCATCCCACTCCAGTACTCTTGCCTGGAGAATCCCATGGACAGAGGAGTCTGGTGGGCTACAGTCCATGGGGTCACAAAGAGTCGGACACGACTGAGCGCCCACACATACCTGCCAAGGTCTGACTTAAGGCGTCTGATATTTGAAAGAAAAAGTGTAATGGGAATGCTAAGTACTCTTTCTTCTAGACTCTCTAAATCTTGCTGCTTTTTAAGTTAGATCACCAAGAAGTCACGTACTTGGACCAAATTATCTCAGTTCTCCATAGAAATGCCTTCACTGATTGATGATAGAAGGTTTTGCCCTGAGCTGTTGCAGAGGGTTGATAGGAAAGTTGTCTCATCTGTATTTCTGTTGTTTTTTCAAAGCTGGAGCCAAGCAATGTCCACTACACTTGCAAGCATGAATTTTCAAAAGGCCCATGTAAATGCAGTTCATTTAACATAATTCCAAGGAAAGCTTTATTCCTCGCAGTAAATGTGTGTGCTTTCTTTTGTCTGGAGAGAACATTAGGTAACTAATAAGGTTCCTTTCAGATGTCAGGAAACTCAGAGCTAAATCCATACATACCTTAGGAATTAACTCATCTTCAGTTGATGGCACTATCTATTTTAGGTGGTGGGTTTTTTTGGATAGTGTTTCTTCTATTTCAGTCACACCCATTTTGCACAAGGTTTATCTTGGAAGCTGCTTTTTATCCTTTTTAAATTTGGGAGGCATATAGCTGAAAGTAAGTAGAAAAGTCACCCAGATTTGCTAAACATTAACTCTGTCTGAGGTACTTCACATTCACAACCTTAGGCATTAGTCATTAATACCATATCCATTTTAAAAGGAGGTTCAGATGTGTCAAACAGCATCCTCAGTGCTCACAAACCAGTAAGAGTCAGGGTCAGTGCCTGAACCCAGATATTTTTTCTAATTTTGTCCAAAGTACATGCTCATATTTGTGACTCTACTATATATCTGTTTAACAACATTAATTATATAGAATACATACATGTTAATTCTTATAACAAGCTTACCTTGAGCTTGATTATTCATCACTGAATTAAATAGCTACTCCCCTTTGCAGTATTACTGTGAGGGTAAAATAAAATTAAAAACATGAAAGTACATTGAAAGAATTCTAGAGTAATGTACAAATGTGAAGTGTTTTATTATATGCTACACCATCATATTGGTCATTGGAAGGTTTGAATTACTATCTTAAAATTCAATGGCTGTATGTGAGTAATTCTGAATCTTGCTGCTGCTACTGCTGCTAAGTCACTTCAGTCATGTCCAACTCTGTGCGACCCCATAGACAGCAGCTCACCAGGCTCCCCCGTCCCTGGGATTCTCCAGGCAAGAACACTGGATTGAGTTGCCATTTCCTTCTCTCTGAATCTTGAGTACCCCTCTATTCACCTATTAGTACTCAGTAATGATTTTTAATCAACTGGAAAACTGAAAAGGGCTTTGGTAAATATCCCTTAGATGTAAAATATTTTACTGAAGTTCATCAACAAATGACATTCTAAATTAAATTTCTGTTCATAAAATCCCTGTTCTGGTAAAGAAATTATTCTTATGCCATACATATAGTACTATCCTGCAAGCTGTATGAAACCACCCATTTGAGAATCCTACAGTGGGCCACTGACCTGAAAATACTTATTTCAGAAAAGAGAGACTGTACCTCTCCTATGTCCTGAGAAATAGCCTCAGACTTTCTGAAATGATCCACTGTCTCTGCACAGAGATATGAACAGTCCCTGCCTTGCTCATCCCAGCCCAAATCCTCAGCCAATATTAAAATGGAACCTCAGCACACCTGATCCTACTTCATTAATAAGTTTTTCTCTTTCTTCTCATTCCCCTTTTTATCCTTTCAGAAAATGACTTTGTTTCAACTCTTGATGCTAATTATATTTTTCATTTTATGTGTTAGCCCTACTGCTTCCTTTATTTTCTCAGTGAGACAAAAATTTAAGCATACTGCATCAGAAACCATGAATATTTTTCTAAGCACCAACTGCAAGTAATCACGCAAGAAAGACATCCCCATCATGAGAAGATTTCAGTGCTGCTTCGTTAGCATGAAGGCAGGCAACTCAGGAGGGAGGCAGCAGGACTGGGTGCTACTTAAACAAAACTTCATTCTTTCTGTGTGACGCTTGACAAACAGTAGACAAAATATTTTCTCCTTCTTATCTTTAATATAATGAATTGCAACAATATCCTCACCTAATTCTTGCCAATACTTTATCACTAGGCTTCCCTGGTGGCTCAGTGGTGAAGAATCTGCCTGCCAATGCCAGAGACATGGGTTCAATCCCTGGGTCTGGAAGATGCCCTGGTGAAGGAAATGGAAACCCACTCCAGGATTCTTAACTGGGAAACCACATGGACAGAGGAGCCTGGCAGGCTACAGTCCATGGGGTCACAGAGTCACACATGCTGCTGCTGCTGCTGCTGCTGCTGCTGCTGCTGCTAAGTCGCTTCAGTCGTGTCTGACTCTGTGTGACCCCATAGACAGCAACCCACCAGGTTCCTCTGTCCCTGGGATTCTCCAGGCAAGAACACTGGAGTGGGTTGCCATTTCCTTCTCCACACATGACTTAGCGACTAAACAACAACAACTTTATCATTACTGGCAGTTGGGGTGAGAAATTTATATTCCCAGAGGTCTTTGGACATGGGCTATAGCATGCATCATATGATAAATGCCATGGAGGCTTCTGGTGATCTGAAACATGTTATAGATGCAAATGAAATAATAATAAATTGTGATTCTTGAAACTAGGGTAACATCATTCTGGGCAATCATTCTCTGGGCACTCTATCAGAGAAGCTGTAGAAAGAGAAGTTGAGTTTGCAGAAATGATGAGCACTTTCCCTTTGAGAAGAGCATCACTGATCCAAAAACCAATTGGGAGGGAGCTGATTGCTGAGCAACGTCAGCACATTGGTCTGGGACACTCCCCTCAGAGCCGATGAAGAGACAAAGAAAATAGCAGGAAAATGAAGACACGTATGAGTACATGTGTTAGTCTCCCTTGTCAGGAAGCAGAGCCTGACAATGAGATTTGGGTGCAACCTGTGAAGGTGGAGAGGAAGCAGAACCAAGCGAGAACGTGGGTGTCTAGTGGGGTCTGCGGTTGGGAATAAGGCTCTAGAGCAAGAGTTAGCAGGTTTCATCATCTCTCAGCTTCTCAGCTCTGCCATTGTAGCACATTAGTAGCCACAGGCAGTAAAATAAAGAAGCCTTGCTTTGTTCCAATAGAACTTTGTTTACAAACACAATCAGTAGACCAGATCTGACCAAGGAACTGTGGTTTGCTGACTCCTTCTCTAGAGTATGAATCACAACACAGAGTTACTGCCTTCTCCCCACTCCAGAGGCAAGGAGTTCAGCCCTCTGTCCCCTGTATCAGCCAGTCAGCAGCCGTGGAGCCAGCCTTGGGGGGTGCCAGGACCTCCAAGACCAAGTGGTTTCTCTCAGCTAGGAGGAGTTCCCCAACTTCACTGTGAATTTGTGAATTCCGTGAAAAAAAATCTTAATTTGTGTTTTATGAAGCAAGTTCTCTGAGTCACTTATAGTGTGAAGGGGAAAAAAAAAAATCACTGAGTCCTAAACTGTCTAAACCTCAATTTTATATTTCTTAATATCCTAAGAAGAGGGATGCAGTTGGGAGTTGTGAATAGTTAATTACTTAAACCAGTTTCCAGAATGAAATTAAGTCTACCTAAAGGACAGTAATTGGTAGAGTTATTTCAACTTCATGTGTTTAGATAATAATACACACACGTGCACATGTACATTTCCCACCAACACACACACAGTAGGCCAAGGGGTAAATACTAGGTCAGGATGCTGGCTCAGCTACGGAGAGCTGGAGATGGGGGATCAGGGACTGAGTAAAATGAGGGCTATTATAATCTATAGCTCAACACATGTTAGCTATTTCAATGTTTAGCAAATTCAAGCAAATGTTAGCAAATACAAGCAAAAATATGTTTTAAAAAACTGAGATAAAATCAAGAAATGAAATAATAGCACTAATATGGGGGCTTCCTGGTGGTCCAGTGGTGAAGAATCTGCCTTGCAGTGCCGGGGACGTGGTTCGACCCCTGGCCAGGGAACCGAGCTCCCACGTGCGTGTGCGTGCATGCGCCCTAGAGCCCTGAAGCCCACGCAGCGCAGCGGCTGAGCCCGCGCCACGCCCCGCAACTCACAGGCTGCCATGACGGCGCCTGCATGCGGCGACTGAGACGGGATGCAGGCAAGTAAAAAAATAGCGTTCAGATGAAGTAAGAGCTGAGTCCTAAGCCGCAGGAACCAAATAGAAAAAGAGAGGAATTAGAAATCAAGAGATCATAAGGAAAGGAAGGGAAGACATAGGTGATGACCAAAAAAAGAAAAGAAAAGAGGATACGTGAAAACGATGCATGCAGGCTTTCTTTATTGTTCAGAAGATGTGGTGGGGTAAATTTTTAAAAAGCATTGTTTTGTAAGGTTGAACAAATACCTTACATACAAGCATGCATGAAAAAATAACTTACATGCATGCATAATTTACCATCCAGTAGCACCCCTTATAGATATACAGGCCAGAGAAACTTACAAA